GCTGTGTTCATCCAGCTCTACACCTTGTTATCTCAGTCAAAACTGGAGCTCCCTGGATGATAGAACGTGAAGCAAAAAAGAAAAGCTGTGGATGACAGATGTCGGGTTGATAATAGAAGTGAAAAGTAAACTTAATATGGCAGTAACAAAAGAAAGAATATCAGACAACTGAAATGAGAGAATCTATAGGCCTCCTACAAGCATAAAAGCGTAGTAAGAAGTGGAACTGATTAGGGCCAAAAAGGAGATCTATGCAGGAATGCAGAGGGCATGATTTGCTGTACTAAATGATTGCTTTGTGTCCTTTTCCACCAAGGAAAATAATGCTGCTAAAAACATAGAACCATTGCGGCCAGTTGGCCCATTGAGTCTATTTCTGCTTTCTAAAGAGCAATCCTTGCAGCCATACAATTTTTTTTTTCCTCTCAGTTGAAGGGAAAGGATAGGTAATTGAGACACTGGATGAGTTACAGAATTATGATGAATAAGTATTAGAAAGCCTGGCTGTAGTTTAAAGTTGATAAGTCACCAGGAGCAGATGGGATGCATCCATAGATGTTGAGGTCTTGGTTATTATCTTAGTTTCTCTTTGTATGGGTGGGGTTTACCTTGGACTGGAGGATTATGTGTGACACACAGACACACTCTTTATTAGACAGTCAATATGGCATTTTATTAATTCCTACTTCAGAAATAAAACCAGTTGGATTCCAAACCAAAACATAAACAGATGCTATACAAGTCCTCACACCTAACATGCATTGTCTGACCTAAAATGCCACCTCTTCTTTACACTGATAAAACCTTTAGTTCTCTCAGGACAGTGACTTGAAAGGAATTCGGGGATTTACATATACACATTCATGTTTAAAACAGGGAGCAAGGATAAAGCCAGTCAGCTTAACCTTAGTTGTGGTAAAATGATTAATTTTGTCCTGGTTTGGATGAGAGCAGATTAATTATGGAAAACCAGTATAGATTGTTAAAGTCAAGTCATGTTTAAATAATTTCTTTGTGCTTTTGCTGAAGTAACAGAAAAGGATGACAGTAAGTCGATTGATAAGGTACATATGGACTGCTGAAAGAGGTGCGATAAAATGCTGTAAAACAAGCTTGTCAGCAAAATCCATGAAATGAAAGGACAGTGACAGCACGGGTCCCAAAGTTTGAGTGACAGGAAGTAGGGATTGTGATTAGCAGTTATTTTGAAGACTGAATGAAGGTACACAGTGGTGTTCCCTGTGCTGATACTAGACTATCTGCTTTTCTTCGTAAATATCAAGACTTAGACTTGCATGTTGAAAGGCACAGTTTCAACATTTGTATATGACACAGAACTTGGAAGAACTGTGAACTTTGAGGAGAACTGTGACAGACTGCTGAAATTGACAGACATGTGGCAGATGAAATTTTATGTGGAGGCATGTAAATTATTATGTTTTGAAAAGAATAGGGTGCAAATCTAAAAGGGGTGCAAGAACAAAGAAAGCTGAGATATAAATGTACATCTTTGGAGGTTGCAGGGTAAGCCACTAAAAGGCATATAAGATCCTGGGCTTTGTAATGAGGGGTTTAGCGTACAAAGGCAAGAAAACTCTGATGAACGTCTCTGAAATACTGATTTGGCTTCAACTGCTATATTTTCAATTCTTGACGCCACACTTTAGGTAGTGAAGGTTTTTGACAGAGTGCAGAAAAGATTTGAGAGCGACTTTGCTCTGTGTATAGATATATCTCTTGGATATTTTAGGCATTCCTGGTATTGTGGTATCTGCAATTGTCAAAAGGCCACCGTCGATGAGATCCAATACTGGATCAGCTTTATTAACTCAGCCTTCAACAAACTACAGCAGAGAGTGTACGACCTAAAATAGGTCAACGAAAGTCCTTGTGTTCAGAACAGTTGTCATCATTATGCACCTGTATTGCACTGGGGAGCTGAACTGTGTAAGCAGTGGCTTGTAAGAGCGCTAGAACAATTCCACCATCAGTACCTCCGCTGCATTCCCTAGATTCAATGGAGGGCCATCAAATAAGTGCTAATGTCATTCTTGAGCTGAACGGTCTCTTGCCCTACAGCTATTCTGAGATTCTGTTGAAATTGCTCTTCGCTAAATCAACTGGTAACTCAATACTGACATCCTTTCTTATAGTTTGGTTTTGAGTGGTTTCTTCCGTGCATTGTTAGTGATTGTGCTCAGAATGGCTTTAGTTTTTATTTTGCAGTAAAGCAAACAAATGCCTTAGGCTCCGTTGAAACGACGTCTTGAAAGATTCAATTTTGCATCCAGTCATTAGTGTTGAAATCCTTACAATGCAATTATGTGGTGTTACTGAAGGGGAAGTGCAGCAGAAGTTAAACTGCTCTAGTATCAGCCAAGATATGATATTCAAGGCCACAAATATGTGATTATTGCGCAGTCTGAAATGAAGGTTTATTTTGTAGATGTTCTTTGCCAGCATCCATTTTTGTAGGACTGGAAATCCTCCACGACTTTAGTTCAAACATTCACCCAAATTCTGCCTCAGGTTTCAGTTAGAGGTATGGCCATCAATGTGGCTTTTTGTAGCCTGAATTACAGTTTTTGCTGACTTTATGGTGAATACTATTGTTTAAGGGCAACACTAGTCATACTAGTGTGATCATTCATTTCTGATTCAAATACTAGGAGGCAGGAATTTATTAGAATTAGCTTTAATCATTGGTTCAGGCTGTTCTCAGCTACCCTGGGGAATTCTCCACTTGGACCTCATTGGGCATGCTGGTGCAAACAGTTCATTCTAGGCATGAGTTTAGGCCTCTAGTTACTGCGTAATGGTATCTTAGTGGCATGTGATTATAAAAATGTTTTTGGATTCCCTTAGGAGTGAACAGAAAGAAAAGGAAACCTACTACTTTGGTCTGGGAAGAGCCCCTGGCCCCACTTTACTGAGGTGTGTATTCACGCTGCTCTGATACTTACACTAGTGCAATGTGAAAGTAGAGTGCCTCCAAAAGGCCAATACATGTGTGAGCCACTTACCTGCAGCCCTACAGTCCGAGTTGGGTTGCTGACATGCTCTGGGGTATAGGAGCAAGCCGCAGGCTGTCAGATCTCCACTGGCAGATCTGGAATTCGGCAGTTTTGGGGACAGAATTTCTCAGCTGTTACCACAGGCTCTAGTAACATACGTTATAGGAGCAGGAGTAGGATGTTCGGTCCTTTGAGCCTCCGCTCCTATTCAATGTGATCACGGCTGATCATTCAACTCAGTCCCCTGTTCCTGCTTTCTCCCCATATCCTTTGAACACTTGAGCTCAAAGAACTATATCGATATCTTACCTGAAAGTCTTCAATGTTTTAAACTTTGTGGTGGAGAATTCCAAAGGCCCATTACTCCATGGGAAGTTCCTTCTCATCTCTATCTTAAAAGGCATGCCTCTTATCCTTAGACTGTGACCTCTGGTTCTGGACTCCCCAGTCAGAGCGAACATCCTTCCTGTATCTTCTCTATCTAATTCTTTTAGAATTTTATGAGTTTCTATGAGATAGCCACCTCATTCTTCTGAACTGCAATGAATATAGTTGTAACCAATCAGTCCTGCCATCCCAGGAATCAGTCTGGTAAATCTTTGCACTCCCTCCACAGCCAGAACATTCTTCCTCCGATAAGGAGATCAAAACTGTACAATACTCCAGGTTTGGTCTTACCCATACCCTATATAGTTGCAGCATGACAGCCTTGCACCTGTACTCAAATCCTCTCACTATGCAGGCCAGCATATTATTTGCCTTCCTCACTGCCTGCTGCTTCTGCATGCTAACTTCCAGCGACTGGTGTAAAAGGACACCCAGGTCTCATTGCACCTCCTCTTTCCCACTTTCCTCTTTTCCATTCAGGTAATCTCTCCTCCTGTTTTTGCTACCAAAATGCATAACTTCATATTTATCCACATTATTCTGCATCAGCCATTTGCCCATTTACCTGTCCAATCACACTGAAGCTTCTCTCCATCCTTTTCACAGCATATCCTCCCACGCAGCTTTATGCTGTCTGCAAACTTAGAGATAATACATTTAATTCTCTCATCTAAATTGTTAATATATATTGTGAATCGCTCTGATCCCTTTGGTTCCTAAATAGTAACTGCCTGCCACTTGAAAAAAGACCCATTTATTCTTACTGTTTGTTTCCTGTCTGCCAGCCAGGATGTCAGTTGACTACCTCCAGTCCCGTACACTTTATTTTTTGCATGCTAATCTCTTATGTGAAACCTTATCAAAAGCCTTCTGAAAATCCAAGTTTCCAATCCACCATCTGCTGCTCTCCATTATCCAATCTACTGCATGCAGCAAATTTGTCAAGCAGGACTTCTTTTTTCTCAACTTTATACTAAGAAGGACGGTAATGTTTAACCTATAACTTATCTCTTTATTTTTCTACTTTGTACCTAAGATTTTGTACCCTAGGTACCTTTGTACCTAAAATGGTGCCAGGAATGGTGACTATGTACACTTTTCACTGCTCGTGTAACCTTGTATTTGAATACACGTGACAATAAACTTAATTCTGTTTCTAATGTCCCTTCATAAATCCATGCTGGCTCTGTCTGTTCATGTCACTATCTTTCAAGTTCTGTGCAATTACATCTTCTATAATGGGCTGTATCATTTTTCTCTGGAATGATATATGCATGTTAGGTGGATTGGCAATGCTAAATTGCCCATAGTATGTAGGGGCATGCATGTTAGGTGGATTAGCCATGAGAAATGCAGGGTTACAGGGATAGGGTAGGGGAGTGGGTCTGGGAGATACCCTTCGAAGGATCAGTGTGAATTTGATGGGCTGAATGACCTGCTTCCACACTGTAGGGATTCTGTGATATCAAGCTAACTTGTCTATAATTCGCTGTTTCTGTCTGCCTCCCCTCTTAAATAACAGAGTTACATTAGCAACCATCCAATCCATAGGAGCTCTTCCAGAATCTACAGAATTTTGAAAAATGACCACTAGTGCATCTGTTATTTCTAGTACCATTTGGTTAAGTACTCTGGGATGAAACTTCTCACGGCCTGGGGATTTTTCAGCCTTAATCCAATTAATTTCCCCAACGCCATTTCCCTACTAATATTAATTTCTTTGAATTCCTCCTTCCTATTAGGCCCTAAGTTCCCCATATTTTTGGGATGTCATTTGTGTCTTCCTTTGTGAAGGCGGTACTAAAGTATGTAATTAATTGTTTTGTCATCTCTTTGTTCCCCATTATAAATTCCCCTGATTTCTGACTGTAGAGGACCTACATTCGTCTTTACTCATTTTTTTCTCTTTGCATATCCGCAGAAGCTTTTACTAACAATTTGTATGTTCCCTGCAAGCTTACTCTGAAACTCTTATTTTCCACTCTTAATCAGTCTCTTTTTGCTGAAATCTAAACCGTTCCCAATCCTCTGTTTCTTTTTTGGCCAACTTATATACCTCTTCCTTGAATTTAATACTATCCCTATTTGCCCTTGTTAGTCATGGTTTGACCACATTTTCTCATATTGTTTTTATGTCAGACTGGGGTGAATAACCTTTGCAGGTCATCCCCATGTTCTTTAAATATATGCCATTGCCTGCCCAGTGTCATCCCTTTAAATTATGGTCCCTAATTTATCGTAGCTAACTCACACATTGTACCATTGTAATTTCCTTTATTTAAATTCAAGGACCCTAGTTTCAGAAACAACTATGTCACTGTCCATCTTCATGAAGAATTCTATTGTATTGTGGTCATTCTTCCCTAAGGGCCAAATGCAATTAGATTGTTAATTGATTTATCGTTCCTTCTTTGTTATCCAATACCTGGTCAAGGTCAGTCTTTCTCTAGTTGGTTCTCTAGATACATGCTACTAAGCAATGTGGATCAGGATAGTAAAATTCCAGTTCTCTACCAAATAAATCTCAGTGTGGCAGGGGTGGGTTCTGCTGTGGGCATGACAGTTGACCTAAGCGTACTGGAATAAGGTTTTGGGGTGGGGGGTGTGGAGTGGGTGGGTGCGGAGTTGGGGAGAAAAAAATCATTTGTGTTAGCTACCATTCTTACATGAATTCCAGCTGCATAGAGAGAATGTAGTAAGGGAAATTGAGGACGGAATAGGTTTGATGTATTGCTCTGCAGGCTAACTTCACATGAAGATTATTGTGCCAACTGAATGATCGGAGTGTCGTACCCGGGACTGACTTCTCCAGTGAGAACGGGCCCTTCTGAGGACTTAATTGAAAAAAGATGCAGTTTTTTTTTTAGTTTTTATCACCCTGACTCTGTCTGAAGCCAGTGAAAACCAATCTGCCACTCCGTCTGCTGTCTCACTCAGCCATCCGCCACCCCACACTTCTGATCCATTGTGTGCAGCTGCCTCACCCGTTCCCTGCAACCCTCCCGCTCACTCCCGACCCAGTTTGAGAAGTGTGTACGGCACCCTTGCCACTCCCTCCTCACCACTACCCCTCAATTCTGATCCAGTCTGAGGGCACCGTGTACAGTAACTTCATTGCCTCTCCTGACCCGGCATGACGACAGTGTGTGCAGTTACTTCACCCCATCTCCTGACCCAGTCTGAGGGCAGTGTGTATAGCGGGTTTACCTCCTTCTGCTGACCCATTCTGTGGACAGTATGTACAGCAGGTTCACCCCCCTCTCCTGACCCAGTCTGAGGGCAGTGTGTAGAGCACTTTGATCCAGTTTGAGAGTAATGTTTATGATACCTCTGCTAATCCACACAGCAGGATATAATCCATGTCCAATTGTCATCTTTTCTCCTTACTGAGTAAGCTTTACCAGTTTGGTTCTCCATCTCGTTATGAGATCTCTCTCCTCCATATCTTTTTCCTGGGGAGTTTAATGAGGATGGTTAGAATAGTTGGTTTTGACTGGCCCTGTCATGATGGGCAAAAGGGCCTTTTTCTGCACTGTAGATCTCTGATTCCAAAGCTTGGTTGAATAACTGGTATCTGGATTAGTGCTGCTAATCAATTGATATTCTTCTCATAAATACAGTTTCAAAATCTCACCTCACACTCTTCAGTTCATGAAAAGAGCCTCAGCCTTTTCCAATCTGTCACAGACTGCTTCTCGTCACTTCCATCTCTTGAATGTCACTATGCTGAGAGCTGATTCGGGGCTGTTTGCTGAATTCATTTTGCCAGTTCATGTTCACCGTAGAGAGTTTGTTTTAGAATCCTGCGATAGCTGGTTATGGTTACTCCCTTCACCTTCCTTTTTAAAGAATTACTTTCAAACTATTGTTCCTCTGTTTACGTTAGACTTCTGATTAGTTTGCCATTTTTTATTAGACCACATCCACAAACGTTCAGTCACTCCAACACCGACACTCAGTAGCAGCAATACGTACTTATCTACAAGATGCACTGCAGAAATTCACCAAAGATCCTTAGAGTGAACCTTGCAATCCCACGACCACTGCCTTCTAGAAGGACGAGGGCAGCAAATATATGGGAACACCATCACCTGCAAGCTCCCCTCTAAGCCCCTCACCATCATTACTTGGAAATATATTGCTTCCTTGGTGTTGCTAGGTCAAAATCTTGGAAATTGCTTACCTAATGGCACCGTGGGTGTCCTATAGCACATAGACTGTAGCGATTCAAGAAGGCAGCTTACAGGCGTCTTCTCAAAGGTAACTAAGGATGGGCAATAAATGCTGCTCCAGCTGCACTGCCCTCGTCTCATGAGTGAATAAAAAAATATCAAAAACTCTCATTGAAGTATATCATTGTTTAACAGAAAACAAAACCCCTTTCTACACTGTTGTTTCTGTAGGGTTTTTAATGAATCAAATTATGATAGTGAGTCACAAAATAAGTCAGATGGCCAAAGCTTGGTTGAAGAGTTGCATTTTGAAGAGTATCTCAAAGGAAAGAAAAGAGGTAGAGAGATGGAGAAGTGCGAG